CTCTCTCTCTCTCTCTCTCTCTCTCTCTCTCTCTCTCTCTCTCTCTCTCTACTGTCAAAAAGTACAACATACTACATATATATCATATTCAAAGAGCCATTCAAAGTCACACTACTCTGACGTGGTAATAAGAAATCGCGACGCAACAATAACGTTTTAAGTAATGCTTAAATCATCGCGGTTCGTGAATCGGCGAGAGACGTGGGGTTACGGTAATCAAATATTCACGGCGTTCGGCCGTCCCATCGTTCCGCTATAAAACCGGTAGTAACCGAGAGCCGGCGTTCACCTCGGTACGACAGTAGGAAGACAGAATTAAGCTCGTATGATAGCGAGTAAGGGTGACCCCCTCGCAAATCTTCCCGTTTGAAGGCGAGTGGCGGGACACCTCTCTATACATTTTGAACTGGAAAGACGCGGCGTCCCGAACTTTCGACGGGAACCAGTTCATATATCTGAAGTATGGTCGCCATAAATAAGCGACCTGTCCGTTTGCTCTGTTCGCCCAACCCTCCTCGCAGATCTCGCTCGCTTTTTCTTCCTTCGTTCCTTCTTCTCTCCACGCAGATCGTTTCTCTCTTTCCCTCTCTCCTTATGTCTCTCTTTCACCATCTTCCCCCTCCTCCCGCTCCTGAATTTCCTGCAGTCGTAATATCGGAGTCATGCGAAGCGAGCCAATCGCCGGAGGAAGTATTTCACCATCACGGAAGAACGAAAAATCACGATCGCCCTTCTCCTTCTTCGCTTCCACATCTCGTCGTCGTCCAACGCCTATCACTCTTTCGAGTGATCGTGCGTGTCAACGGCATTGCAGAATCCAAGAGGGGAGGGGAGAAGGGGACGGACCTTCGTGAAGAGAGAGGAGGAGAGGGACAGAGAAAGAACCACGATGGACTGTGCACGTTCTACGAAATCAATTCTTAGTCCGACATATTTCAGGTTGGCTGATCGTGACTGCACTTGCCACCGAGATCAATTCCCGTGATTGATTGACCGACTGGTTTGCTCACTTTTTCACTCTCTCTCTCTC